GCTAGACCATTGCTGGAGTGACGTACTGCATCACATAGATTACATTTTTAAATCTTTTGTTTGCGTTGTCTGAGGTTTCTCAGCTACCACTTCAGACAAAGCCAGTTTAATTGAAGTAATGCAGTCTAGCAGAGGCAAAAAATAACAACTTCCCTTCCCTCCCAAGGAGTAGGGGATGTGTTCAATTTGCCAATATCCTGAAGTATTGCAGTATTTTACCAATGTAGTTCCCTTCAGATGTTCTGCCCTATAACTCCTGTCACCCCCTGATAGCATGACACTACTCCTATATGTCTTCCAGCTTCTCTCAAGTGTCCTGCAAGATTTCTTGACAGCTCTAGGCTTGCTTCTTGGTCGCTTCCCAGCAATTGTACGTGCTGGAAACAGACCAAACAAGAGCAGATCCAAACAAGAGCAGATCTACCCACACCAAAAAAAGTAAAAGCCCCTGGGAGGGGCTCAGAAAAGTGCAGGTAAGGGGCACTGGGGGAACAGCTTGGTTCACTCTAGTAATTACATCATCTGATCAGTGGGAAAAAGAACAAACCAGCCTGTCCCCACAATGCATCAAGCAGCATTTGAGACAGCACTTTCAACAAAGTATGGGCATAATCACAAAGGGCCATGTTCCCTAGTAATACCCCTGTTAGATCTGTGTAGAAATTTCTGATCACATGGTGCATGGCCATTATCAAATTATTTACCTGGCCAGTGGTGTAACTGCAGTTTATTTCCCACTCACTGGGAGGCCTCTGTTATTTTGTTTCAATGGCATATTGATGTATTTCTTATTGGCATGACATGTGTGCGCTACCCTGTTGATTCGTTTCCAAAGCCAACTGACCAGGGAAGGTAGCTGCCATTACTACCACACGGCTGCCCTGCTTTAAAAAAAAATTCCAGCTGGTATTGGTTTCACTCCACCTACTCGCTGGCAAGCAACACAGTCCTGGATGGAGGTGCCAGGACCATTGAGTGCAATTCAGTCCTTCCAGAGGTGCTGGTGCAACAAAGGAAATTTTTACTGAAAAGGAACCCCTTTCCAATATATTCATATATTGGAAATAATAATGATAAAAATAATTACAAGTGACCAAATATTTTGTTGGTCTACTGAAAAGCAGACCTAGTCCCTATATTCTAGTGTGACACACTACAGATTAATTTCTGAAGAAAGCCATACCCACACCTCTTTTGTGCACATTATTCTTACCTAATAGGAATGTTATTACGTGTCCAGGTAACCTCTGCCTGAGGAAACGCCTCTACAACACACTCAAAAGTAGCTTCTTCTTCAACAAGGGCATCCACAGTTTCTAGAGGAGTGGTGATAATGGGAGCTGCGGGCAGAAGAAAAGATGCAATGAGGCTGAATTGAGAAAAAAAATATTTGTTATCTTCATGACATGGTCTTTGTTGCACTTGACTGGGTCCAACTCAGCTTACACTGATGAATGATCATGACTTTGCACGGGGAGGAGTAGATAAAGTGAAAAAAATTCATCAAGCGTCCTAGACTGTTTTTACATGCTTTGATCTATTTATTTATTTATTTATTTAATTTATACCCCCACCTATCTGGCCCACTGGACCACTCTAGGCGGCTTCCAAATATAAAATCAAATAATAAAACATAGACAAATACATAATAATCAAACAAGAACAGCAGTAAAAATAAAAAGGAAAAGTAAGAAAAATCAAGAGTTGGCTGGAGGGAAGGCCTGAATAAACAGCCATGTTTTTAATTGGGTTTTAAAGGTGCCCAGCGTGGGGGCCGCGCGAATCGCCGGAGGGAGATTGTTCCAGAGGTGAGGAGCCACCGCCGAGAAGGCCCGGTTTCGTGTCTTCTCCTTCCGGGCCTCTCTCGGCGTCTGGTTCCTCAGCCTCACCTCCTGACTCGCGCGGGTGATCCAGGTAGACCTTGGTGGGAGGAGGCGTTCTGCCAAATATCAGTCTGATCAACCTAGACCAGTGGTTCTTAACCTTGGGTTACTCAGGTGTTTTTGGACTGCAACTCCCAGAAGCCTTCAGCACCACCTTTTCACTTTTTCTTCTTGATTTCCTCTGAGAGAGGACATTCATGAATATTCTTGGGGCTGCTGGTGTCCCTTCCTTTTCACTTTTTCTCCTTGATTTCCTCTGAGAGAGGACATTCATGCCTTTTCCTTGGAAGATAAGGAGGCAGTCATGGCTTCCTGCATCTCTAACGTAATTAGCTACAACTACCATTCCTGTTATTTTTATCAATATATTTATCAAATAAGAATCATGAGAGTGATTTCCAAATTATTCTGATCTTCAGGGGCTGAATCAACAAATTAACTTAGCTGCTCAGCGAACTAACAGTCTTGAACTCAGTTAAATGAGTTTTATGGTTTTTAGGCATAAACAGCACTTCTGCAAGATAAATCTTAGTCATTTATATGCTTAGGTAAAGGTTCCCCTTGACATTTAGTCCAGTCACGTCCAACTGTACAGCGCAGTGCTCATCCGTTTCCAAGCAGTAGAGCCAGTTTCTTGTTAGAAGACCGTTTCCATGGTCACGTGGCCACCGCAACTAGACATGGAACACCGTTACTTTCTCACCAAGGCGGTACCTATTTATCTACTCGCATTTACATGCTTTTGAACTGCTAGGTTGGCAGGAGCTGGGACAAGCGATGGGAGCTCACTCTGTTGCATGGATTAGATCTTATGACGGCTGGTCTTCTGACCTTGCAGCACAGAGGCTTCTGTGGTTTAACCTGCAGCACCACTACGTCCCCTTTTATATGCTTAGTTATAGCCAATTTGAAAATAATCAATACTAAGAATAAGAAACGTGACTGGAGACTCATCCAATAATTTCCAAAATGAGTGCCATGTAGGCCTCCTGTAAGACAATATTCTTTAGGGAAGGTATTTGCAGTATTTCATAGCTGCTTTTTTATTTATTTATTTATTTATTTATTTATTTGTTTGTTTGTTTGTTTGTTTGTTTGTTTGTTTAATATGCCACCCACTCTACCCAGAGGTTTTACCAATGTAGTTCTCTCCAGATGTTGTAAGTCCTCTCATCCCCTGAGAGTATGGCACTACTCTTAGATGTCTTTTAGCTTCCATGAAGTTTCCTACAAGATTTTTTTTACCTAAGCAGGTTCTTGAATTTTTGCCAAATTTCTCTGTTAGCAAACCATCAGAAAGAGATTTATTCTGCAATAGCATCACGGTACAAGCACACTTCTAATTTATTATTCTTTGGAAGCATAGCACACATTGTGATATGAACAACAAATAAACCTCTCTCTATGTAGCGTGATGGCTCAGCATGGATTTCAAGAACTTTAAATACTTTAATATCATGTCATAAAATTGTTGATTGATGGGAGATCAAGAGGGCACCTCCTACGAACTGTTTTCCCTCTACATGGTGCTCTTGGCATACAGAACTATACTCTGAGCAACTGTTTCAGTGTATGACGTCCAAGGGCATCCATCCAGTATAATAGCTATTGTTGACAGCTGTGTTGGCACTTTCTTTGTAGCACACCACTAGGAACACTGCAAGTGGTGAAAAGAATCCTCCTGACCTTCACAGAAGGTTAAAATATAAACCCACCCATAGATAAATTACAAAATGGAGAGCATGACAAAGACTGACTGAGGTGTACTTATGCCAAGAACAAAGGACCCTGTCTGTCAGGGGGACTGAATGATAGATATGATCTAAATCAGGGATGACCAGCCAGAGGCCTAGTGACTGGATCTAGACTCTAATTCAATTTTAGCTTGTCCCTGGCAAGCCCACTAAATTCTACAGCTTCATAGCTGCAATACGTTGCAAGCTTTCTATTATCTCTATGGGTTTAAGCTGCTGGCTCTCAGGCTGTACGTAGAGATCTCACTTGTGATTTTTCTTTTGCAAATTGTCATCATTTTAAGAATAATTTTAAGCTTTTGTTAGCACCATTGGCAGCTTGTGGCTGAATTGTCACCCCCACCCCGCCTCAAATACTTTGGCATAAAGTAATTCCTACTCTCTGGCCAAAAGCTTCTTATGGTGAACAATGATCATACAGCTAAAAAAAGAGAAGGTGTTAATATAAATATGTAAGTGCAAAGGTGTAACCTGCAGGTTTTGATTATAGGTTCTCAGGGGTTTTTTTTTTAAGTGATGCTAGCAAACACCAGAGTGATTGATGATCCAGTTCAGAATATAAATGCTGCCCTTTCATAAAGTGCATCTGTGTGTTTTTTTTCAACTGAGCCATTCCACCTCTTGAATGAAACTTCGTGCTGCTCTCTCTTCTTACATGCACTCATGTATCTGACCTCTTTCTCCCCTTCCTGACACACTTAAAAAAAAGAGGGGTGAGGAAGGGAGAAAGACTTCCTTCTCTGCTCCAAGTACCATCAAAGCATTAACATCAGATGCCAATTCTACTAGCCAGGGAAGAATGTTGACTTAATGACCCTAACAGACAGTTTGCCAGGGGGACTCTGACCATGTTGGGTTTCTGATATCATGACATGTGTGATGGGAGCCAAAATGTTTTCACAATTGCCTTTAGAAGCAACAGAAACATTTTCTAATCTGTTTACTTTAGGGGAAAATTTAGTTTTCTGAATCAGAGGTTATTGTGTGTTGCCCATCATTAGGTTTTCTGTCATGTGAAAATATCAGAGGTACAGGGCCTTTCATTTTTCTGAAGCTATTTGGGATCAAGTGTTCTCTCATAGAAGCTCTATATCATGGGATTATTGTGCAGCTAAAACTCTCTAAAAGTGGTATATAGCACCTAGTCTCTTCTTGTCACTTGTGTATGCTGGTGTGATTATTGTGTAGCTAAAACTCTCTAAAAGCAGTATCTAGCACTTCTAGTCTCTTCTTGTCACTTGTGTATGCTGAAACAGGCTGTATAACATGTGATGATCCACATACATCTGACATGATGTTGCTTTTACAGTTTGGGGATTTGAGGGATTGCGACTCATCTGTAGAGGGGGGAATGAATACCATTCATTTTGCTGTGGTATCAACTTTTTCAGTCCTGGAGACTAACTGATGGCTAATGTTTTGAGCTCATGTATCATACCATTTATCAAGCAGTTGATAGCACAACATGGTTATATTCCTTATAGAGTCATAATACCATTACTTTAATTAACTTCAGTCAAACACACCAATGTAAGTCGAAATGTAAGAAATGACTTTTGTAAGTCAAAATGAAAAGTTCTGGTTGAAGATTCACCCTTGGGTGGTAAAAGGCTGCTAGTATAACCACAGGATAGTGGACCTGGATAACTGCATGTGATAAATAGTTGCATGTCTTTTAACCGTATGATTCAAGGGGCTTTTTAAACATTTTCTATTTATTTGAGGTATTGATAACCTACCTTATTAATCTCACATGTATAGGAAAACAATCTGCAAGCATTTAAGCAGCCTCTTCCTTTGTTTCTGCACCACTCTCTTCTTCTGCTTTCTGGAGTGATTTTATTTTTTAAAAATAATGTCAGGGGGTAAAAGTGGCAAAACTCCCCAAGCGTATTGCTTGACTCCTAATTGTTAACTCATTTGATGAAAAGTAGAATTTAAATTGCTCAACAGATTGGATCATTCCTGATAACATTATATTTGGATATGCTAATTTTGAATGCAATGTAAAGTTGTAAATATAACATTTTGTATAAGATATACAGTAGTTATAAATCTTTGAATACATGCAAAAAGTAGGTCATATATAAGTCAGGTAAAATCCCGGTAAATGAACTGGACTCTGCCTTTAATTATCCATACTATGATCAAGGTTTCTATCTAAGTATATAAAATATACAAGGACGCCCGAATCAATCAATCAATCAATCAATCAATCTATCTATCTATCTATCTATCTATCTATCTATCTATCTATCTATCTATCTATCTATCTATCTATCTATCTATCTATCATAGGTAAAACAATTCCCAGTTTCTGTTGCTATCATATGTCTGAACATTCATAAGTCTGAACATTCCAAGATAAATTACATATTTACATACTTTTCGATCAGAATAAGCATTTCTAAATGCACTTTTCTCTTGAAATAGAACTTGAAAAATATGTATGGATACACTTTTTAAGAACCAAAAACTGCATCAAAGCAGCCAATGAAATATAAGGGCTGATAGATCACGAAAGGTGCAAAGTTATCTAGAAATAAATCCCACTGAATTCTGTGGGACCTGTTAGAGATACAGTGGATTTAACAGTAAGGCTATACTCTGATACACCTTTACCTGGGAGTAAGCCACACTGAATATAGGCAGAATTGCTTTTGAGGAAACATACATAATATTGTGCTGTAAATTCCAATCTGCACCTGAGTCCAGGAGTTAGGGATCATGCCCGTTCGTATTGGAAATTAATATTGGAACTGGAAAAGATCAAATTCCACAGACATCTCAGTATCTGTCTGAAATAACCAAGTATTCCTTTCATGATGCCTAATGATGTGTATGTTTACTTTAAAATCCCGCTGAATTTATTTCCCAGTAAGCATTCACAGGATGCAAAAGTTATCCTAACATTTTTAGAAGGGCCGGCTAAAGGTGTTCTACTAAAAGTAGAGTAAAACAGTTTCAGTCATATCACTTGTGCTTGGCATTGATACTTAGGATAAACAGACTTCCACACAAACAGTGCGGAGCACAACTTACCCATCAGAGCACAACTTAAGTACTGTACAATAATTTCTAAATACAAAAGCAGGATTGATTCTTTCAGATGCGTTTACAAGAGCAAGGAGTTCATTCCTACAGATCTCTGTGGCTTATATATTTTACCAATCGCCTGGGTTGCCTGAGGCGATAGAGTAAACATATAACCAGTGGCAAAGAGAAGATGTTATTCACACCAACCTTTAGGGAGTCTCTCAGCTAAACTGAAGGCTGCCAGCGTGAAGATATGTACAAGTGGAATGTTGAGCAAGTCTTTCATGATTAATCCAAGGATGGGGAGAAAGGGAGCCATCTTCTTTATTCACAGGCAGGCATATTTCTTCCTGGCTGCTTCGCTTTAAAGCATGTTTTCTTGCAAAGTTCCTCTCAGCCACTGACTCTGTGGGTTCTAAGTATAATCAGGAATTTTCAGACTTGGCTGCTGTGATGGACGTGGCCAGCTGGTCCGCTTCCACTTCAGTCAGTATCAAAATGTGGGGGCTCATGAAACAAGAGAACGCAAATCCCTTTAGAATTCCTTTTAAGCAAACAGTGAAGAGCACAATGCCTCAGTGCCCTTCTAAAATAATAGCTTGATACAGTCCAACAGAAGGTGTCTGGCTTCCACTTCAGCCAAGGAAGAGTAAGGGCAGTGTCGTTCTTCAATAATCGGTGTTTTTGAAACCTCCCTCTCTTGCTGAATCTGATCAAAAGTCTATTTAGGACAGAATTTTGGGAAGTGCACAAAAGCCTTCTTCTGCCCAGATGATGTTACAGCCCATAGCCCAGTATTGCCAAATCTGACTGTCTATGACTCTTCACAGACTCGTCACAGAGACCTTTTTCAGATCCTTCCTGTGCTTGGTGATAAGCTTGCCACCTTATGGATGCAAAGGACAGATTCTACCACAGGCTGTAAAGTAGCAATAGATCTCCACTAGTGTTTATTTCCTGTGCCTAATATAGAGACAGGGAACACATGGCCCTTTAGAAGTTTTTGGACTGGTATTACTATCATCTTCAGCCAACATAGCCAGTACTGCGGAATCATAAAAGCCACAGTCCAACAACATTTCTAGCAGGGGTTACTAGAAGATCTTATATCAATGCAGATGGTAGAATTGTCCTTCTCTTTCCTGCCACTAATAGATGTACTAAAATCGTATGATCACTATCAGATAGTGAAGAAAATATTTTATTTTACTATACTGCACTTTTATGCTGCTTTTCTCACGCTGAAATAGCTTAAGAAAAGGGGAGAACAACCATCAGAGGTCTGAGGTCACACGTACCCATCCAGGGACCTCAGAGGGCCACTCTGAATCCAACTCCTTCTATGTTCTTACAAAAATGGGGGTGGGGGAGAGTATGGAAGTAGCCCTTTGTATCCTCTAGTGGCCATTTTTAAAAAAAATCAAAGTAGTAGGAGCTGTAGTTCAAAAACACAAATGTGCACATCTCTAATTTCATTCACTTCAGTAACCTGGGAAGAGTGGCCTTAATATTTTAGAGGCAGAGATAGACAGGAAGCTGTTACATTTTGGCACTACTATAGTAGCGCTACCATATTGAGGGGCGAAAGAACCAGGGGCAGACAAAGCCTGTCTTCTGACCTAAGAATTGCAAACATGCAGAAGAACACAAGCGTTAATCCTCCCCAACACACACATATGTAGTCTTGATAGTGTAACGCTAGGATAACTAAGTTAAAAAGTAGTGGGGGGAAAAAACATTCAAGAACTCAAGGACCATGAAATATAATTCACAAATGCAAGGCCTTTACTGCACTGCAGTGAAGCTAAATGCCATTGAGAGTGACTGCATGGGAGTATATACAATCTAGAGATGGACACGAATTTAAAAATGAATCATCAAATTCATACAAAAATCACTAATTCATTGATTCATATACTGTATGTACCAATCAATGCCCCCAATGAAAACGAGTCAAAGAATGTTTAGTGATCTTTGATTTGACATTTTGTTTGGCTATATTTCCCTCTCCCTCCAGCAACTAGAGACACCACAATTGCAGGAAACGTTCCTCTGACTCTCTTCTACAATCCCTCCAAGTTTAGTGAAGATTGGATATCAAGTGTCCAGGTTATACACCCACAAAGAAAGTTCCCCTCCCCAGGCACCTGGAGACACTAAAATTACAGAGAAGCTTCCCATGACGCTCCTGTACAATCCCTCCAAACTGGTAAAGATTGGGTTTCCCCAGACCAGCAGCCACAAGGCACTTTCCTTGAGGAGACCCACTTTGTGGGTGTGTAACTTCAGTGTCCAAAACCCAATCTTCACCAAACCTGGAGTCCCACTTTGTGGGTGTGTGACTTCAGTGTCCAAAGCCCAATCTTCACCAAACCTGGAGGAGTTGTAGAGAAGGGTCAGGACAATTTGGTATCTCTAGGTCCTTGGGGCTGTTTTATATAGTTTCAGATTTTTTTAAAAATGAATTTGTTGAGAACAGGAAACTTTCCCAGTGTTTGTTGGGCATTTGTTTTTTGAACAGGAGGCTAGGCAGAGCTAGATCTCTGATACTTCACAAAGCCTTTCAGCTTAGGCCTTTCTCCGAGAACAGGAAACTCCCAGTGTTTGCTGGGCATTTGTTTTTTGAACAGGAGGCTAAGCAGAGCTAGATCTCTAATAGTTCAGAAAGCCTTTCAGCTTAGGCCTTTCTCCCAGATGAACCACATTTAGGTGTCTGTCTCTCTAGTGGAACTCCCAGAATGGAGAATTCTGGGATTTGTAGTTTAAAAGGAAAAAAGAAGAATGGCACATCCTTCTTTTCTAGAAAAATTGTTAATTCAGCCTAGTTTGAGTATTGTTCAATCTTGTCTGTTTTTGTTTTGGGCTGTCCCACGTGGGACTGAAGAAGGACCAAATGGAAGCAAAGACAATTTGTGGATGATGTAGTTAGTGGACCTCATCTCCAAATAGAAACAAATTCTGGTTCAGTTTGTTGAAGGGTGATCCTTGCTAGGCTGTGGATATCTACATATGCTCTGCCTCAATGGCATCTAAAGCCTAGTCTCTGTCCTCTGCTTGTTTGGAAGAGAAATATTGTATCTCCTGAGATCAATGGTTTCATTTTTATGATGGAAGAGAAAACAAGGATGTTGTCCCATTATGTTCTCTTTTACGGTGCTGAGGAAAATCCTTAAAAATAGCACATGTTAGAAAGTACAAGAAATGTGAATAATGGTCGGGAAACATGCAAATTGGATTTGGAGGAGAATTTGGAACTTAGAACGCACTGTTTTGCATACATGTATTGAGAGGAGATGCCATGACATAAAAGTGACTACAGTATATGTGAATTGTTAATTGATACAAGAAAGCCTGTAAAAGTCCAACATGGCAGGCTGAAGTACTCACTAGTAAAGAAAGGTATCAATCCAAGAGATACTCATATAATTATCATCTTGAGCTGTTTTCAAAATGTTGCAGTTAAAGCTGCAGATCAGATAGCAGAGGACACAGAGGTATGAAGAATAAGGATGTATATGCTCTCACTGCTGTATTTCAGTGGGTATTCTTAGAACATATTCAGATATGCATTTCATGATTTTAATGGCAGCATAACTGTCACTGGAGAACTTATCAACAACATCCAATATGCAAGCAGTATGGTATTGCAGGCTGATAGTTTATACTGTATGGTCTGCAGAAATTACTCAATGAAGTAAGAAGCAAATACAGTCTTAAAAATAATTTTAAGAAAACCAAGTTAATGCAGTAAAAGGTCACATGAAGAAATGCAGTTAAACATTTCTGAAGAAATGCAGTTAAAATCCAAAATGAAAGTATGAATTTTGTTGACAAATGCGTGTACCTTGGAATTTGATCTAGTGAACAGTGGGAGCATAGCCTTGCAGTAAAAAATGAGAATAGAGAAGACCCAAAGCAGCTTCACACACACACACAAAAAGGACCTGGCTTTGCAAATATGTCTTATGTATTCTTAGTTCTAGCGTGTGGTGTGGAATCATAAACTTTTACAGAATCATCTATTAAAAAAGAAGTATTTGTAATGTGTAATTTATTGCAGGATGCTAAAAAATTATTGGATCAAGAGGGTAACCAATGAAGAAGTACTGTATTAAGATGAATTCATAAAACTCAAGGAATCATAAACTCAAGGGAAGAATGTTGAAGACTGGTTGATACAAAACATCACCATGTTTAGAGCTGCTAGACCCAAGATCAGTATGTCCATAATTACATCCAACCCTACGGAGAAAATGGCTAGAAGAAGATGGAAATTATAGAAGAGAATTTTTGAGAAATACGAGAGAGGAAGGGATTCTTTCCCCAATATTCTTCAGTTTTGTCTTTTCTTAAAATGACAGCTCTTGTGTTTCTATGTATGCAGTAGATTTTAGTCTTCCCTCCAGAAAAAAATCATGATTTTGTGCTTCCAGGTTGATTCTGACCTTTCCAGGATATCCTAGCTAGAGTGTACTCAAAGATAGTTCACCCTGCCACTTCTCTGATGGCTCTCGAGGACTGTGCAGGTTGCCCTAGAAATGCTAGCTTTTCTCTTGGGAGGCACAGTGGAGAACTGAACTCCTCACCTCTGCCTCTGCAGCCAATTATCCAACTCACCAAGCTATCTAGCTCCAGAAAAATTAGAATCTATAAGGGGGGAGAAAACTTCCAATGGTGAACTGTTGAGTCTGATGTCTTAAAATGTATTTTATTGTTCTCTATTAATGCCAATCCCTGAATAACAGTAAAGATTCCTATCTGTCTATATGGCCAGCACCATCAACCATAGCCATGAGGCTTTGACAGTGCTTGGGGACCATGAGGTTTGCAAAAATATGAATGCAAAGAAAATCCAAAAGAACACATCAAAAGCATTTCAGTGGTAACTGGCTATGCCTAGTGGGGACAAAGCTAAATATTGGGATAAACACCTGAGGAAAGAGGGAAGTGTCCTCAAAATAAGCATGGCCAGTTGTTGGAAACTCTAACAGAAGGATCATTTTGTTACAAGTCCTACTTTTTTTAAATTACCACCCAAATAATTCCAGTATGTAAGAAACAGGGTGAAAAATGTTTGAAGCCGGCTAAACCAACTCACTACATTGCCTGGTTCAGACATAACTATCTTTATCTAATCAGTCCTTTGTTAAGAAACAATTATTAAACCATAGTTTCCTGGCTCAGATGTAAGATGAAACTTGTAGTTTAATAAATCATGTTAGATGCCCTGAAGCTGCATGGGCAAGATGAAGTGCAAGGACATAGCATACAGGACAAATCTTGTCTAAGATGCCTCTTCCTAACTAACCAAGGTGGTTGATGATCAGCTAAGTAGTATTTGTATGTTTATTGACCATTGCCTTAATATTGCCTGTTAATGATGTAAGATGCCTCTTCTTTATTCATCATGCCTAGTTTTGAATATTGTCTTTTAATTATTTTAACCACTGTTGTATACTCATTGTTTTCAACTTTAAATATGGTCTTTTGTTCTTATAAAGGGATGTGGTAGCACTGTGGGTTAAACCACAGAAGCCTCTGTGCTGCAAGTTCAGAAGACCGGCTGTTGTAAGATCGAATCCACGCTTGTCCCAGCTCCTGCCAACCTAGCAGGTTGAAAGCATGTAAAAATGCAAGTAGATAAATGGGTACCACCTTGGTGGGAAGGTAATGGTGCTCTGTGTCTAGT